AATTCAGAAGTCCTTTTTCCGGTGGTACTTTGAAAAGAGTTCATGACGGACTACTTCTAGAAGATGTTTCCCAATAAATTCGTCCGCTCATCCTTGTGAGCAGGTGCGGTCATGATCTTTCCTCGGCTAAGACGTTTAAATAACAGTTCTATCTTACTTGCCAGCGCTTTCAGGATTACAATTCTTCTCAAGTATCATAATTTTTAGAAGCTTTACTGGGGAGCAGAGGTGGTGATCACTGACTACGCGCGTGGTCCGGCGGTTAAATATCTGGTCAGCTTCCGCTAGAGTCGTGAAGCTCTATTCTACGCGGACGTCAGATTGATAGCAGATTCGTCTGGGAGGATAAAGACACTGACTTGTACCTCGACTGACACTCCGAAGTAATTGTATAGGCCATATCACCTCCCCTGCGACTCTAAATGGACGTAGAATGTGTGCGCAATTCAATAAAAAAATGGGATTGAACATTAGAAAAAGTTTCATCTTTTTTGTCCCTATTTTCAAATAAAGTCCTCTTTTGAGGCCTTTCGTACAAGAAAGAAACTTTTAGTTTTTCATACTTTTGGTAGAATGCAAATTTCGCTCAGATCGATTGCCTACTTGGGTGTGATAATCAGGTTTCCATTGTTTTTATTATGATATATGAATGCAGAATGACTAAAAACTTTGGGTGATAGCGTTATGAATCATTGAACTGGTTGTTCTTGATGACTTTCATGAAACGATGGCCTAGAGAGTATTCGTTTTCGGACTTGCATTTTCTCCTGATCGGGCGGACGCGGGGCGAATCACATGCTGCATATGTGAATCATCCTTCATGTGACGATAAGTGGTACCGATGTGTCCCGAAAATGCGGATGACGTCATCTGGGGAAGGGCGAGGGAGTGCTTGTAATAGGATTCGTCATTAGGGAGTCACGGGTATCGAAGAACCTCGCAGCGTAGTTCTGCGGGGGGGGGGGGCATTTTGCATTTCGCTGCTCCACTGGTTCCGGTTTACAAACTCCACTCTGATGAAACCTGTGAACTCTTGTGAAGATCATGGGGAAAACCTGTCCAACCTTACAAATAGCTCTCTGGATGTGTCTACAGGTCGATGGGAAATAACAGCAGTACGAAAAGTTGTCCCCCCCCCCTCCCGTTGTCAAATCGCCCCAGGTATAGCTAGTCTTTTTTTCGAGCAAACCGCCCCACTGTTTGAGGCGAAGCCACTTGGTGGTGACTTACAAATAATTTCGGCGCCTGGTGTTTATCACTAGGGTAAAGAGTAATGTAAAAGCCACTGAGCTAAGAGGGTAAGAGTGACCCCCATGACTTGATGGATAGCAGCGCTTCTCGCCAGAGAGATGCGTGTTCGAGTGCCGTCTGGGGACTGACTTCTGCATGCTTTGTATTGATTATCGCTAGGACTTCACCCTGTCCAGGTCGAAAATCCTTTGAACGGTAGCCAATGCGCATCATCAGTGGAGACCCTCCCCCATATGTGCCCCAGACCCTGGTATGAACATATGAATTCGTCATTTCCATTTACTGGATTTACCCATGTCAGCGAGTTTTTCCTTCATGTGGAGGGGTTGTAAAACATATTGAAACATTAGTCCAGCATGATCGAGACAGCCCGGTGATTATCGCAGCCCATATTTTTCTTCGATCGTTGTTACCGCTTCTTCAGCCTTCAGAATTCCCTGAACCTTTTCTCTGTAGTCGTATCTCCCATTTTGATCAATTTAGACTCGATTTTTTTATTTTTGTCAAAAATATCCTCAAAGGTGGGGAATGTAAAGTTGCAGCTTCGAAACGATTCCTTTGCAATTTATGAGTTATGCAATGTAAGAAAATTAATATTTGAACTTCAGAATGACTCTCATGTCGATAGGCTTTAAATAGTAATAGTTGAATGATGTTTGACAGTAGCTTTTTAACCTGAAATTATAATGTTTCAGGTGGGTTCCAAAATTTTCGACTACAATTTCCGCAACAGTGCGAAAGCGAGCACCCACCAAGCGGTGACGGCGGCGGCAGAATTTGCGGCATGAGCCGACTGTCTGCCAGCATCTCCCAACCATGTCTGTCGTCGATCAGTCTCAACACTGATGGTCCTACACAGATCTTCCCGTTCATGTATCTGGGCAGTCAACAGGACGCGCTTGATGAGGAGAAAATGAAGGTTGGTCCTCAATGAATCATTCTCTTGTCCTTATCTGGTATGGGAAGAAAAAAGTTGTTGTTTCGTTGAAATTGCGAGGACAAAGTGATATCAGTGGTTTTATAGGGCGTTTGGTAAATGTATATTGAATCAGGGCGTTACCTGTTTGTGCGAATAAGGTGACCCGGCGTTTGTTTCCTCAAGAGGTTTTTGGGCGCTGTTCGGCTGGGGGGGGGGGCATTCTGCACTTTCGCTAGTTCCTTTTGATAGTTCGTCGTAATTAACGCTTCTTAACCTGCTGAAACCTGTGGACCTGGGAAGCTGCAAAATGGTACAAGTGAGTCACCGTGGGTAGGGAAATTCGCAGGCCTTCATGAACTGACCTGTACAGGCTCCGCCGAGTATCATTTGGTGCCCGCCCAAGCCCGAATTGTGTCGATTTTTGTGTATGGGAGGATCTTTGCACTAGTAAGCTCAAGCGTACCAGGTAGAGCGTAAGAGGGGTGGGAAGGTCTTGAGAAAGTTACGCTGACAACTTCATTTGGAAGTATTTTTATTGACTACTTTGCCATCGTGACTTTCTCCTGGAGCCTTGTTTGCGTTATTGATCCATTCAATGCGCAAATGTCTTAATTTTGTGATTTTAGAAGTACGGTATCACGCATGTTGTGAACTTGTCGATCTCTTGTCCACGGCCGAAGATAATTGAAAATGACAAGAATTTCTTCCGAATACCGGTGAATGATTCGTACCAAGAGAAGCTGTCACAGTACTTTGATGAAGCATGGACGTTTCTAGGTGAGTCACTCGGACAACACATATGTTCAGCCTGTTATTTAGTTCGATACGACGCGCTCTCTTGTGCAAATGTGCGTCATCCGCAGTGCCTGAGTGTCTGGTAGTCTGTACTATTTACCCGAAGTAAAATGAGCTGTCACTACAAAGAACAGGAACTTTCGGGGTCAAGAATTTATGGGTGACACCAAAGTACCAAAGTAGATTGACATTTCGTCCTTAACAGTAAGACCAATACCATAGGTCCTGCTGCGATCGTTGAGAAGCCTTTTTGGTAATGAAGCAACCAAACTAGTGCTAATCACATTCGTGTCAGCAGCTCTTGTATAGGGTTGAAGGGGTTTCGTAAATTTGGCAACTGTGACGAGCCTGCAGCTTGGGCCCTGCAGGGGTTCATGGTTCTTCACCCGGTCTAACTTATGGCAATTTGTCCCCTATTTCTCTTGAAAAGAAGGTCTGGGGCGTCGATTGGGGGAGGCATTTTGCACTTTTGCTACTTCCCGTCGAACTGTGAGCCATCTAGAGGGCTATTTCACTAGTTGACAGGTAGTGCCGTGGTAGCTCGACGAGCTTGTTCCAGCCTCTCAAGAGTTCACAGGTTTCTCCAGTGCGAGACTTGTAAACCGGAACAAGTAAGCGGCGAATGTGCAAAATGCCCCCCCCCCCAAACTGCGCCGGAAGTCTTGTTGAAGTTCATTCTACAAACTGACGTTCCATGCTTTAGAAAAGGTACGAACGGAAGGGAAAGTGGTGCTGATTCACTGCCTTGCTGGAATATCAAGGAGTCCGACATTGGCCATCTCATACGTGATGCGGTACAAGAATATGTCATCTGAAGAAGCTTACAGGTGAGCATATAATTTTTGTTGATATTTTTTTTCGGAGGATTCGGTAGCAATTACCGTGTGAACTAGCTGCAGTCTTGCTCGCTGCAGGTGAAGGGGCGCGCCCGTTCTCCATCAGTTGTTGAACGAGTAAGCGAAAAGTTGGTAGAAAACGAGTGATAGAACAATACGATGCAGTTTTGTCACTTGCTCTTTTAAAAAATGGTGAAATGGTGTGGCACCGCGCCAAACGCATTCCTAATGACACGCCCACTCGTCCGCAGTGAAGTGGGTTATATCCACGCAGCACCACAGCCACCCCATATCATCCCTTAGCTTCATACTGTACTTCGCAAATGAAGCGATACGAGCATCAGCATCGGTCGGACATTTGTGGGCGGGCGGGCGCGGTGGGCGTTCGGGTCGGTTTGCAGCTTGATAGGGCGCTGTAAGGGTGTCTTCATTCGGAGGGGCGCCACGCAGCGCCTGCTCAGGGGCCAAATTCTGTCCTGCTAGGCGTGTAATGAGTGAACTGGACATGCAAGTCTTTTAGCGAGTGTCCTTCACTGGATGCTAATCTTCGAGAAAGTCAAAGTTGTTCAGGTTCAGAAGGCTGAAGGAAGATGATGATGTGAAACAGTATAGACAACGACGAACTCACGGGTCTTACACCAAAATTACAGACTAGTCAAGGAGAAGCGACCGTCGATCTCGCCCAACTTCAACTTCATGGGACAACTGCTTGAATACGAGCAGTTATTGATCAAGAAAGGCCTCTTATCAACAGAGGCCTCATCGAAGCTCATTGATCGACCTCTTTCGTTCAAGCAGGCTTTCAGTGCTGAGGTTTGTTCAGCTTTCGTCTGTACTTCTTCCTAGCTTTTAAAAGCCCCTCTCTTTTCCAGCTGGATTTACGCATGTGGTTTTGCCGTAGAGCTTTGGAAAATGCGACCTAGCCCGATTTCGCTGTCATTCGAGTGCTCATGCAATTTTTTTCAGGATTCTGACGTGCCGTTATGTCCAGCGACAAAAGTACCGAAGTCGGCATCTGCACACTGCGTGTTCTTCGAACGCCCGCGCGATATTGGTGTGCCTGTGGCACGAGTGAACGAGAATGGAAAACGCGGCCTTAGTGATCCGCTTGATCGCCCGAAAGTGCTCGGTCTGTACAATGCGGAATCGAAACGACCAGCGGCCGAAGAGCTACCGTCACCGTCTACTGAACTCTCAAAGCTTACGTTCGCCGGCCTTCCTTCGCCATCATCACCTTCCGTTGGAGAAGCTCGGAGTCTGTCCCTGTCGAACCCATGCTTTGTCTCGCCAACACGAGAGACGCTTCAACCCGAGCCGGTTGCTCATAAAGAGGAATGCGAGACGAGTCGGCGCAGTTATTTCAAGCATCGCTTCGCATCGCTGTTCAAGGTTTGTTGTTCAAGAACTATATTAAGATTGATTCTTTAGTATCCGCTCCACAAAACTTTCTAAAAAGATTTCAAAAATTCACGCCGAAGAGCGAGCGCGTGAAGTTGTTTTTTGAGAGGCCCTTCCGCCGTAATGTTTGCAGATGACTCATTTGCTTTTTCCAATCGACCCATGATTGACGAGCTTTTATGCCATCGAAAAAAAGGCGACTTTTTTTAGTCTCATCAAAATCCGACGTGTTGTGCACAATCGCCTCAGCTGAGCACTAGCCGTCCAGAGAATCTCCAGTCATCTGGCATTCCATTCTTCGGTATCAGCAGAAAAGTCGCGAAGACCAGTCCGCTGTTGACCACAGCTGAAGAAGCAGAATCGCCTGAATCTGGCTATCAGGTGAGGCATGGGTTCCTTGCTAAGTATTGAAGAATAAGGTCTGCTCTGGGATCATTTCCTAGAAGTGGGCGGAGCCACCTTTTTTTTGCCCAAAAGGCGAAAATTTCGAAGAAAAGATTGAAATTCACAAAAAGAAGCAGAAGTGGGCGTGATCAGAGGGGCGGGGCCTGGAGTGCCAGTGTATAGACGTATATCTCGAAAGAGGTCGAAAAGAGTTTCGAAAATTCAGAACTTACGACAACTTATTAAAAAGTAGGCGGAGGCGGAGCTATGTCGGGACCAATGCTTTCCGCTGAGAGTAGGCAAATAGCTGAAGTGCAGCAAAGTCAGAGGAAAACCGTCCAGAAATCGAATTTTGGAAACCGTGCCCGCGCTAAGGAGTGGGCTAGGTGTTGGGGCGGGGCTTGTAGCAGTCCTAGTACTATCCGATTCCGATTTGGTTTGAAGTGTTCAGTTTTGTACGAAAATTGTTTAATTTGTTTTGAAAAGTGTCCGGTCAAAATGAAAATGGTATACACAAGGGTGCGTGTCTGAGTGCAGGACTTTCAGTACTGGGGTAGACGTATGTGGCCACTTCGTCCAGGGCACATCATTAGTTGGGGATTTGGCCGAGTCCGTACGATCCCACCCCCTCCCGAAAGGTGGCTTAATGCAACCCCCCCCTGCTGCCTACTCTATCATTTTCTTGGATTTTCCCCAACTCCCCACCTTTTTTCCAGTTTTTCGGGGAATATTCCTACTTTTCCCCCAAAATTTTGCCGTCGAGCGAGGGAAGGGGGAGGGGTGCATAGCACATGTGAAACAAAAACGGAAACGCAACAACCGGGAAATAATTCTTTCTCAGCCGCAAATTTCTCTGCAAAAACGACAAATCAACGAACCTCACTCATACTCTCTCTCTTTCTCTCCTTCTCTCTCTCTCTCTCTCTCTCTCAACAACGAGCACCTACACCCGCATTCCCTCTCTCCTCCCTCTCTCTTTCAACAACGAGCACCTTCCTTCCCTCCCTTTTTCCCTCTACCTCTCTCTCTCAACAACGAGCACCTACGCCCGCATCCCCCCCCCCTTATAGCGTCTGAACGTCCGTGAAACAAGAAAAATCAACGACCAAAAAAATTTTCAGACCAAGTAAGACCCTCCCCCTTCACCCACCGACCAAATACGACCCCTGTTGGAGAATGTCTAACGATGATGTGCCCTGATTTCGTTCCCTCCAGTTTCATACATTTTATGCTTTGTTCTTTCAGTAAACGGTATAACTATCGTACAGTTTTAGGATGACGAGTATAAGACATCTCCGGAAGATCTTGATCGTGTGTCGATCAGCTCGGCAGGTAGTGAGATTACAGTTCAGTAATCGGCCATACAGCGGCCGATCGCTGATGATAAACGGGTACGTATCCAAACATCAGCTTGTCATGGGTGATTGGTACAAACTCCCCGTTGGAGCCATTTCATTCTCATCCCATTTCTATTGGTTAGACGATATCACTTGCAGCTCCATAACAGTCTTTCTAAACATGACGGGAATCCTGTTGTGTAGTAAATTTCATACTCTAGTAATAGGCAATATACAGTGCAAGTGATATCACTATTGTATGTCTCAATCAATAGTTGAAGACTTATTTCCTGCTCGATTCTCCTTGAATACATATATTTTTGAATTATTGTCCCCCTTCCATTGATAATCATTGTCATGGGCGGCTACTGATGGGCATGTAGTCGCCGACGTTTTTCTATGCATTACGGGTATCCCAGATGTGACTTTACCATACTACGGACCACAGTCGTATAGTCTAGAATTCATTGATGCACCGCCATTCGTCTTGTCTCAGTCATTCAATCGCACTATGTTCATCGTTCCTCTCTTTCTCTACCAACATATTGTTGTACATTGGTATATCAGAGCGTTTCTTTTCTTCAGTATGATGTGCTGATCGTCTTTGTTGTGACTAGATAGATATTACTAAATTATTAGGGTGGTGAGGAAGTATCAACACCACTTAAAGAGCATTTCCTTTTCTTTTATTAAATCAAATAAATGGTGAAATAAAAAAGTGATCTTGTGGCGTCTTATTTGGTCGTTGCTTCCGGATTTCTACTCGGCTTGGGTTCTTTCTATGCGGAACAAGTTTAACGAGAAGCCAGTGTCCATTGCGGCCTCTCAGGTGGCGTAGTGACGTACTACGCCGTCCACTGAGCGCATTAACAAATTTGCGAAATGGGGGAGGGGGCAGGGCATCAGGTTGGTCTTTAGCCGCATTTCTCGTAGCGTTAGAAAACTGAAGGTAAACAGAAGCAGTGATTTCATCTAACGTGATTCATCATCCTTCCCATCAGCCGTTCCTTTTGGTTGGAGGAAAAAGGCACGGTAATTTGGTACTCGGTCTGAAATAAGCAACGGGGCTGTATAAGGGGAAAACGAAGAAGCGAAATATTAGGTTAGTGCATAAGTTCTTCTTAGTACCGACTTTTTCGAAAATATCTCAATAGCGAACCAACCTGAAGATT